TTTAGAGAGGTTGCTTGCAGCAGATCGAACGCAACGGACGACTCTTACTGAATATTTTAAAATGAATGCTTATGATCCTGATGTGAGAAACATACTCTACGCCGATTTTCCATCATATTATATATGGAATAAAGCAACCAAAAAGTGAAAAAAACAGCAACGTGGGGGTTGTATTAGTAGAATATATATGGTGCATCCAAATGAAGGTAAATTTGTAAAAATTTTTCAAAATTAAAATAAAAAATTAATATATATATATATATAAATATCTATATAACTTTAGGTGAAAGATATTACCTCTGTTTATTATTGACAAAGATACCTGGTGCCAAAAGCTTTGACGAACTTAAAACAGTGAACGGCATTACATGTGCTACTTTCAAAGAAAGCGCACAATGCAGTGGTTTTCTTGAATGTGATAATAATTACTGATAGTGCATGAATGAAGCTAAAGAATTTAGGATGTCTAGCCAACTACGCAATCTGTTTGCAATACTATTATTATTTGAAAATGTTACAGATACATATCAGTCACACAATTTGTCACATGCAAAATTTTTACTATAGGGTCAAATGATTGATGCACCTAAATTTTATAAGTAAATTTTGGGCAAATTTTGCTTTTAAGGCATATTTAACAATAAAGAAGTTGTCAGTTTAGTTTCTGGGTATCATTTCATAAATTCTTTAGCATTTGAAGGTCCTTCTTACGAAATTTTAATGGTGGTTAAAAATAAAATGGAGAAAGATCATGATCACGAAGTTGGGCAATTTTTTGACGATTTTTACAATTTGTTTATAAGTTATTTATATTGTTTACTTCAAATTACCCAAAATAGGTAATGATAAACAGTCAATTAAATTTATGTAATTGACTGTTCATCATTACCTTTTTTAGGTATTTTTGGGTAAACAACATACATCACTTATAAAAAAATAGTAAAAATCGTCAAAAAATTAGTCAACTTCATGATCATAATCTTTCTCTATTTTATTTTTAACCACCATTAAAATTTCGTAAGAAGGACCTTCAAATACTAAAGAATTTATGAAATGATACCCAGAAACTAAACTGACAACTTTTTTATTGTTAAATATGCCTTAAAAGCAAAATTTGCCCAAAATTTACTTATAAAATTTAGGTGCGTCAATCATTTGACCCTATAGTAAAAATTTTGCACACATGATCTGCGTGACAAATCGTACGTCTGATATCAACTATGAAATGAAAACTTCGATGCTATGTCTGAAGACTTTGCGCATAATGGAATTCCAAATAGTCAACTTAGGATTCAGGCCATTCTGTATAGTATAAACACGATTTTAAAGAGACATTCAAAAAGCGTTACAGATTTTGATTTACCAGAATTTTTGCCTGAATACACTAGCAGTGATTTACCAAGTGTTATTCTGGAAGAATTAAATTATAATATTACTCAAGAAGATCTTCTAAAAGCCAATATGTTGAATGAGAAGCAATGAGTCATATTCGATATGGTACTAAATCTTATGGACAAAGGTGAAGGGGGTATATTGTTTGTAGACAGTTCAGCTGAGAGCGGAAAAACCTACCTCTATGATTGTCTTCTTATTCATGTACGGGCCAGTCATCGAATCGCATTAGCAGTTGCATCCTCTGATATTGCTGCTTTACTATTACGCAATAGATATACTGCTCACTCACAATTCAAAATACCTATCTCTTCTATTGACGAAAATATGACTTGCAATATTGCAAAGGAAAGTGATCTAGCTAAATTGCTCAAAGAAACTGCTTTAATTATTTGGAACGAGGTTCTAATGACAAATCACTATGCTCCTGAGGCTGTTGATAAGACCTTGAAAGATTTAATGAACAATGTTCTTCTGTTTGGGGGTAAAATAGTTTTATTTGGTGGAGACTTTCGACAAGTTCTACCAGTAGTGTATAAAGGTACCAGAGCCCAAATTGTTAAAGCAGCTCTTAATAAGTCATTTTTGTGGAAGCATATTAGAGTATTTACCTTGACTATCAACATGTGAGTTGCACAGACCAATAACTAGGAAGCAAAGGAATTTGCGAAATATTTACTCAGAATAGATAGTGGTACTGAGCCTATAGTAGAAAGCAATTTGATACGACTTCCGGATGAAATTGTCATTCGTTCTCAAGATAGTGAAGACCCCGTTAGTTTATTATTAAATGCAGTTTATCCTAACATAGCAGAAAATGCTACAAATAATATATTCATCACTGAAAGAGCAATACTGATACTATTAAACCATACCGGCAACGAAATTAATGAGTTAACAATACAGAAATTTCCTGGTGACCAACATATATACTATAGTTTTGATTCTGTACCTGAAGATGATCTGAACGTTTATCCAGTCGAATACCTTAATTCATTGTTACCTCAAAGCCTTCCTCCACATAAACTTACTTTAAAGGTCGGTGCACCTATTATGTTGCTTAGAAACCTAGATCCGGCCAGTGGACTCTGCAACGGAACAAGACTTATCTGCTGTTGCATTCAACCACACACGATCAATGCTGAAATAGCAACAGGCAGTCATCGAGGTAATCGTGTATTTATTCCTAGAATTCCACTTTTAGTATCCGAAGAGTCAGGATTACCATTCATCATGCAAAGAAAACAGTTTCCAATATGATTAGCATTTGCTTTAACCATCAACAAGTCACAAGGTCAAACGCTGCCTTACATTGGTATCTATCTCCCACAGCCGGTATTCATGCATAGACAATTATATATTGCAATGTCAAGAGTACATGAAATGCGTAATCTTAAATTTTATGTTACGAATGGAACAATTAATAGAAAAGATGGTGTTTATATACGAAACGTCATGTTTAGAGAAGTGTTAATATCTTATGCATAAAATTGACAAAACTAGAAGCTTTGGATACTTCGTACTGTATACTTTCACATGCTATATACCTTAACATATGTTCAATAAATATTTTTGTTCACTTTGCTTATTACACTGGTACTCTGTATTTGTTTAGATAAAAAGCAGGTTAATTTTGTGTTTAAAGGAAGCTAAAACAACTAACTTCATAAAAAGCAAAAGTCACAAATTATAACAAAAAAAAATAAAAAAAAAGTTAAAAAGAAAAAAATAAATAATAAATAAATCTAATTTGTAAAATTACAGTAATTTATATAATTTAGTATGAGTATTCTGTATGTTTATTCGTATCAAAATTTCGCTAACAAATCGAGTTTCAAGATTAGGTGCAATAAAGAAACACAAAAAGTTAAAAAATCATTCGTTACTTAACTTTTTACCTATAAAGTTGCTTACTGTGTACTATAGATGGGTGATGAAATTATTTTCGCAATGACAAAATTGACGAAATTATAAGTAACGAAATTATTTTCATAGTGACGAAATTGACGAAATTCTTATTTCATCAAATTTCATCAATTTCATCACCCATCACTACTGCGTACTAAGGAAATTGTTTCTTTGCTAAATTTGATAGTAATAAATGTTAATTTGGTTGCAAATTGTAATTCAATTCTAATAATGTACTGTATGTGCAATAATCATGATCATAAGCATTCATTTTAAAATATTCAGTAAGAGTCGTCCGTTGCGTTCGATCTGCTGCAAGCAACCTCTCTAAA